ACTCGTAGAGATTGCCAACCAGTCAGACCTGTGCAAGTCCGTGAGCCAGTGCATCAATTGATGGCTTGCTTAGAAGATATATCCAGACAGGACAGGACAGGTAAAAGTGCAGGGGGCATCACAACATCGTCATAGACAAAAATGTATTGCCCCACTGCACTAACCTTTTCTGGCATTTGAGTATAAAGACAAAAGATTACATATCAGGTCATTACATTACACTGTTGACATAATAAATTACATTAAAGTAACAAGTTATTTAGATAAGAAGAACAAACATACAGATAAATTGGGTACAGGTAATCGAGGTACAAATATATTGGTATACAGGAATTAAGATGCAGATAACATGTTACAATTAATTAGGTGCTGCAGTTTGACATTTGTTGGTGTGCTTTAAGGAATACATTAGTATTTGGGAAGATGGGTGTGATGTGAGTTATAATGCTATGCTATTTTTGTGTTGGTGGTATCGTTGTGTGATTGTGCACAGAGTTCATTGCGCATAGAGTTCAATATGCACATAATTTTGTGCAGCAGTATGGAGAGCATTTTGTATTATGACCATCAGATAATAATGTAAGGTTCAAAGTTCGTATGCGCTTGGGCAGTTTTAAGGCACTGGTAGTTGATAATCATCACTCACATAAAAAGTTATGACTTAGGATAGGAGCACTCCCTGTTGAATATCCATATTTGAATCAAATGAGTACCTTAGAATGTTTCCATGGATAGTTCAATGGTGAAGCAGTAGATTGGGAGTCGTTCTTCAATGGAGGTGAGCAAACAGTCATGATTCTTTGGACATCTGTGTGGTGGCACTTCGATTGCTAGGTATTTATTCATCACTGCTTCCGTTTTTTTTTATGAGTGGCATAGTTCTCTACCTTGTTTTTGTAGCTTGTCTATGATTAATATAATGCTTTTGTAGGCGTGTTGATGATTGATTAGGAATCTTTTAAATTCCATTCCCACTTGAGTAGGGTGTTTGACGTGTAGGTTGGCGGTAAGTGGGCAATGAAAGATATAATGGTCAGTGTCGCCTCTTTCCCCGCATACGCACAAATCAGTAGATGTAAAATTTCTTGCCAAGAAATATGTAGGGAAAGGGTATGACCTGAGATATACTGTGTCAAAAAACAGTTGGATACTATGCGTGTATCGTCTATCTTCGGCTGCAAGTTCGTCGTCCAGTTGTACCATTTTCACAGTCTTTCTGCCATGTCTTTGATTTTAATGCCGATTGTGACCAGGGGATGTTTATATCGTCACCGACTTGATCGACTGCTGCCTGTTTTGCAATGAAGTCCGCCCTCTCATTACCTTCGCAATTGTTATGGCCTCTGATCCATGAGAGAACGAACTGCTTATTACTTGTTCTTATGGTTTTCTGGATGTCCTGTGGTATTTGGTGAGTTGGTGTAGAAGCTTTGAATAGCTTGTATAGATGACTGACTGTCTGTCACGATATGAAGTCTGTTGGGTCTCGTAGCAGGTGGTTGATGGTGAGACGAATAGCTGTTATTTGGCCTGTTAGACATTGCTATTTGATTTCAGGTGCCCCTGCCATTCCGAGTGAACTTGTGCTGGTGCTGATTGAGATGCGTTAGTGCTGATGCAGATTGTTACTGTGAAACCCACTTCATTGTCAATTTTGGAACCAACTGTAAAAGCTGTTATGTTGGTGTTAGGAGGAGGTTGGTTGAAGTTGCAGTGGAGGTTATGAAGTTTGAAGGCTGGATGTATCTGGCATTTTTGGGGTTTTCCTTCATATCCTTTTCCCGTGGGCTATAGGGGCTAATTTCGAATGTATTTTGGCCATTTAGTCACTTATTTTAACTGAAAGGAACAGAAAAACAAATCGACAGGGTCTTGCACTTCCTAATCCATATTAAGGAGTCAATTTTAAATCTCCATAGTTTACTGAAATTTCTTGAGACACATTTAAAGTAGTGAACGTGTGGGACATATATGTCTCAGCACCCTGGAAAAGGATATTCATCAGGGTGGAAAGTGGCAATACTATTGTCGAGGTTGCTTCTACTTGAGTTTCTATTGGTAGGGGAATAACTCCGGCGAGTGTTTGCAGGGCGTTTGTTGAAGTTGTGACATATGCTCTTGTTATGTTGAGTAGGAATGGTCACTGAATTGAATTTAATAATCTTCTTTTGCGCTCTGTGATTTGGAAATGCCCATATTGCTGCTGCGTAGGTGATGATTTTGTTGAGTACAGTTTTGAGTAATATTTTCATGATTTTGCTGTTGAGGCCCCAGCAGTAACCTCTCATATTCTTTAGGAATTGAGCAATTTTGGCGGTGGTTAGTTTCTTCTGTTGAAGGTGTTCGATCCAGTTGAACTTATGGTCGATAATTAAGCCAAGGTATTTAACCCCCCGAGCGTTAGGGCTTTTTCAGGAAATGGGGAAGTATTTTTACTCTAACTACTTCAAAAGCGGGCCCTCTTACCATGGGGATATAATTAAGCTAATTCTCCCCTCCGATGAATTTAGCGAGTGAAATTAGTTTTTTTCCTTATGGTATCTTCGTCGCGAGCCTGGTTTCTAAAATGGTATTTTATCTCCTATTTGACTACTTTATATAATTTGCATACTAACACATATGCTGTATATTACTCGTACTTTAATCAAGATATGTGCCGAATACAGAAAGTTAGTCAATATACGTCAATAAGAGAAACTACGTAAAATGCTTTAAATTTCCTGTTTCTTTAAGGAGTTGCTTCGATAATGGCGAAAAATTAATCTAGCATTTTTTATCGTTATTTTCTGAGAAAATACTTTTTAATATGCAAAGGGAATTTGTGAGAATTTTTTTCTCTCGTGTTCCAATTTTTCGAATACAAATTATTCGCAACATATTTTAATATTATGTTTATATTTAATTTCCAATATTCAAAGTTCATTCCAGTTTAAAATATTAGATTTAAATAATTCTTTAGATTGCATCATAAATTTACTAGTAGTTAGTTATTTATGACATCGTTGACGTGAGAAATAAATAAAGTATGTTTCGATTTTCATATTCAAGGAATTTCCATTTGACTAGTTCCATCATCACTTTACCGTACAATGTCGATAACTCAACAAAAAGTTGAAATTTTATATTGGGACTTGTTTTGAGGTCGCTGGTTAGACTGTATACTATAAGACAACTTTACAACAACAACAACCAATTTTATTTCGTGGACTGTAACATAACTAAAAATCTAAATCGAAAATGATAAATTCCCGACCATACGGGATCAAAACATGTATGCTACGCTAGGAGTTCGAATCTTAACTAACTGAAATTGCGCAGAAACAATGCGCTGTACATAACTTTGAAGTTGCGCAGAAACAATGCGCTGTACATAACTTATATTGCCGCGTAGGAGGCAACATACCGCCCCACGTTGCAATATCTATGATATGCAAACTAAATCTAAGCATACAATTCAATATCAAATGCTAACAATTCAGCTATTCATTTTTTTAAGCATTAACAAAAGACTTAAAGTTAGTAAATCATTTACAGAATGAAATAAACAATTCAGAAAATTCCATAAAGTTTGAACATTTGCAAATTTTTTCAATAATTATGGTAAGTATATCAACATTTCAAACAGTAAAAAATATTGACATTTTTCATCAAAATTACCAAAATATAAGTATAATAAAGAACAATGTATATTTTATTAACAATGAAACTTAATCCTTGAAGTTATCCTCAATAGGCAATAAACAAATTTTTGATATTGGCCTTTTAATTGGACCAAACTTTGTGTTAATGACTGCTACTCGTATCTTACCATCTTTACCAGGAATTGTCTGATCAATTCTTCCTAGTAACCATTTAAATGGAGGTAACTGATCATCTTTAATAATAACCATTGTATTTTTCTTTATATTGTCCTTTGAAAAATACCATTTCTTTCGTTGTTGCAAGTGATTAAGATAGTCAGTTATCCATCGTTTCCATATAATCTGTATCATTTTAGTTAATTTTTGCCATCTTGACAATCTGCTTTCTGACAAGTCTAAAATTTGAGGTTCTACAATTGAGTTTATGGGTCTACCTATTAAAAAGTGACCTGGCGTCAAGGGTTCGTAATCTGAAGGTTCAGACGATAAAGGAGAAAGAGGTCTCGAATTTAGTATTCCTTCAATTTGATCAATTACGGTTAAAAATTCTTCATAGGTTAGTTTAGCATCGGAAATAGTTCTTTTAAGATGAAATTTGAAAAGACTTGATTCCGGCCTCCCAAATTCCACCAAAATTGGGGGCACGAGGAGGAATAAATTTCCAAGAGATATTTTCAGATGCCAAATACTTACCCAAAACTTCATCAGGGACAGTAACTAAAGAAGCAAGTTTCTTTAACTCTTTGTGAGCTCCTACAAAATTAGTTGCATTGTCACTAAACAGACATGAGCTTTTACCTCTACGCGAGAAAAATCGTTTTAAACATGCAATAAAGGCTTCAGATGTTAAGTCAAATACTATTTCTAAATGAATCGCTTTTGTAACTAAGCAAACAAAGATTGCTATATAAACTTTATGTAAACTACCTTTTCCTTTGATTTCTATATTTGATTAGAAAAGGGCCTGCAAAATCTATCCCTGTGTTATGAAAACCTGCAAAATCTATCCCTGTGTATGAAGGTTAGATTTGAATTTACACGTTCAGGAGGTAAATCGGCCATTAATTGATCTGAAATGATAGGTTTATGACGAAAACAAATTAAGCATTCGTGAACTGTTTTTCTAGCTAAGTCCTTGCCACCAATGGGCCAAAACCTTTCCCTAACAAAATGTAACAATGCTTGAGGACCAGCATGAAAATTTTTCAAATGATAATGAATAAATATTAGCTTGGTAAGCTTATGATTTTTTGGCAATAAAATTTGATGTTTAGAATCATAATTAATTGTGGCATGAGTTAAGCAACCGCCCACACGTAATATATCTTTTCCATCTAAAAATGGATTTAAAGTTTTTACCTGACTTTTGATTACTCTCTGATCTTGAAGTGATTTAATCTCCTCTGCAAATTCTATTACCTGAACCATTTTTATCAAGTGCATTTCCGCATCTTGAAATTCAGTACTACTAATGGGGCCTGTTTTCTTCACTGGACCTTTCAGATTGGACAGAAACCTGAAAATAAGACTTAAAATTCTAATTAGTTTAACATAATTATTTGTTAATTCAAAAAAGGTATTCCAAAACAAGTTTAAATTGCAGTTCAAATTAACGTCTAAAGGTTTTTTAAGTTCATCCTGATAAGCAGGAGAATCTATGAGAGTCTTGTCAAGTTCAAATAAAGAAGCATCACTAAGTTCTTTCTGTTCAGGACCATTCCACCACAAGGAAGATGTCACAAGTTCATGAGGATAAGCACCACGAGAAATCAGATCTGCCGGATTATTTGCTGATGATACGTGCTTCCAGTGTCGCGGCTCTACTAGTCTTTGGATTTTGGAGACTCTATTTGCAACAAAGGTCTTCAAAAGATGAGGAGAAGTCTTCAACCATGACAGTGCTATCGTTGAATCAGTGCACAGAATGATGTCATCTAAATGCATCTTCAATGAGTTGCTAACTTTCGAAATCAGATGAGCCAATAACAAACATGCACAAAGTTCCAATCTTGGAATAGATAAAGTTTTCAATGGAGCCACACGAGATTTGCTGGCTAGTAGATGAGATGACGAGCCGTGATCTTCATCGAAACAAATCAAGTAGACAACCGCACCATAAGCGGCTTCCGAAGCATTTGCATATCCAATGAGTGAAATCTTGCTTGGATGATTGGAGAGGATGCAACGATTAATTTTTATGTTCTCAACAGCCTTTAAATTTGAAACTATCTGTTGCCATTCGTGAGCAATAGTTGCAAAAAGTGGTTCATCCCAACTCAGTTTTTGAACCCATAATTTTTGTAAAAATATCTTGGCTTTGGTGATTACCGGACCAATCAGTCCTAAAGGATCATAAAGTCTGGCAATTGTCGATAAAATGTCTCTTTTGGTATATGATGATTTCTCCTTGATTGAGACTTTAAAGCTGAATTCATCCTTCTGAGAATTCCATGTAATACCTAAAGCTTTAACCACATTATCACTTTTGGAGGAGAATGAAAGCTCAGAGCTTGTAGAAGGGCTATCCAACAGTTCAGGAGAATTAGAGTTCCATTTGTGCAAAGTCATTCCACAACTATGAAAAAGCTGTATAAGCTGATTTTTCAATTCCCTTGCTGAGTCTAAGTTTGATGAACCAGAGATGACATCATAAACAGTCTGACAAGACAGCTTTGGCAGCTTCAGGATTATTTATGCATTTCGTCATATGCAACTTGCTTTATGCATCTAATGGCTAAAAATGGAGCACTTTTAGTACCATAAATCACCGTTTTGAGTCTATATGTCACAGGTGAGTCGCTAAGGTTTCTCTTCCATAAGATTCGAAGTAAGTCTCTTTGGGATTCATCAACTAAAATTTGCCGGTACATTTTTTGTATATCCACAATAACTGCAACTTGATGTTTTCTAAATCTCACAAGAATATCAAAAGTATCTTCTTGGACTGCTCCCGCTAAAAGTAAATCATTCAAACTTAAGCCATTTGAGCTTGGGGCACTAGCATTAAACACAACTCTTAATTTTGTACTTGACTTCTCTGGTCTATATACTCCATGATGGGGGAAGGTAATATTCAAGTTCCGGTTTTGAATTATCATCGACCCTTTCCATATGGTCCAAATTTACATATTCTGTTATGAAATCTTGATATAAATGTTGCAATGTAGCGTTTTTGCTAAGACGTTTAACTAATTGATTGAGTCTAATGTTGGCTAAGTGCTTTGAATTTCCTAATTGTTCGTCTTTCATAGGCATTTTTACGATAAATCTGCCATCTTCATTTCGTCTGTAAGTGTCTTTGAAATGTTGTTCACAGAATTCTTCTTCTTGGCTAAGAATTGGCTTTTTTTCACCAATATTTTCCACTAACCAAAATTTTTTTACCAATCTATCAATCTTATCAACATTACCGAGAAGTCCACAATAATTCTGACAATTTTCAAGGGATGTTTTCAAAGAACCAGTAGCTATATAACCAAACACAGAATTTCTAAAAACGAGTGATTTCGTAGAAGATTTAAATTGTCCATTAATAAAAAATGTCATAAAATATTTCTGCTCCTAAAATCAGATCTATGCTAGCTAATGTTATAAAAATCGACTTTTCGAACTTATTATTTAATTATGTAATCTTTGACTACTGTTGACTTTTGATTTAAATTGATTGTTTTATTTATTTGTATTGCCACGAGCTGTGGTAATTGTTGCACAAAGTCGTGCCTTTACATTCAATGTTCTGTTTAAATAAAAAGATTGTTTTATAGTCTTTCTAAGAATCTGTCGTTCTGTCTCAGGCTAGTGATAATTCGTTACATGTATAACCGGTACATTTATAGGATTAAAGTAGTGCTACTCGATCAAGTGTAAGCCAATAACTCTTTTAGTTTCTTTTAACTTAACTAACTATAATCATTCATTCATATATACACATATAAAATATGTAAGATAAAAAATGTATGAATCAGAATTATAAAATAACTATAAACATTAATTCTTCCTCTCTATTCTAAAATCGTAATAACTTATCTGCATTGCATCATTCAAATTAATCAATGCGATCTTACGTAGCCGTTAATACCAGATGCCTCTTGACGACCAATCACCAAATTGTAAAGCCAAAACTTTTCTCTTCTTCGCGTGCTTCCATCCTTTCATAACTACACACTACGCACTCAGCTTTTGCTCTCTACTGTGCTAAGATGTAATTTCGCTGACTTGCTTTCTATTGTGGAAAGGCACAACTAGAGTGCCAAGTGATTGTGGCCACAAATATCAATTGGAAATAAAAATGGAATTAAAACTGCCTCGACTGCCAAGTTCTTTAAATACTACGCACGGCTTTTCCTTGTGCTTTTTTAATATTACAATTAAGCCGGCAGGATAGTTTCCTGCAGCCTGAAACCTCAATGGAAAATTTAATTCAGCTCTTCAGATGATCGTTTTGTGATAAATCCAAGATAATGTGAAAGAAGTGAATCATCAAGTTTGTTTTTTCAGTGTTTAAAAAAAATAACAGATCATTCTTCTGCTGTGGTGTTTTGCAAGTGCTTCAAAAATAATCTCGTGTAGTGTTTACAGATTGAAAGTAATCTCTCGATAAATCGAGAAGTCCGAATGCCTAGTGAAAAGGAAATCATCAGTGAATTACCGTTTAGGAATTCAGCATTACAGCGGGTTTCAAGGTCGATCCGAGTTAGTGTTTGCAAGTATGTGCGACAGAAAATTATTTGCACTTCCGCTTTTTCAACAGCTCAAAATTATTACATTCGTGTGAATCTAGCTCAGGAACTAAATTATTTAATGTGCTGCGGATTCTGTAGTTTTCATTTCATTTCAACTTTGGTTAAATTTCTGCAATTTGCTTTGAGAAAATCTGAAATTCTTGTTCATTAATTTTTCTAATTTTTCATAATTATGTGTGAGCAAATTAAGTAATTAATTTTAAGCTATTTAAATTATTCATAGGGAAGGATGTTAAGATAAGTTTTTATGTTTTTTAAATTTTGTTGAGAATTTTGAATACGAATTTCATAATTATTCTAAAAATAAAGATGTTAAAAATAAGTGAAATTAGTACAGATAAGTAATATGAAATTATGGTAAATACATGTTAAAATTTATGGGTTATTGTGTGTTAAGTATAGTATGATGAGTGTGTACTGGTTCCTTCAACAGAGGCCTGTAATTACCTCTGTACAGTTGTTCCTTTTACCCTCTTCATGCAAGATAATCTTGGAGGCTCTCATTTTATGAATGCATGTAAATTTTTTATATTATTATTATTATTATTATTATTATTATATTTTTTTTATTACGGAATGTATTAGTGCAGTTCTCAAAGGTCAGTTACCTTAATGCAAGGAACGGAGGCCTTTTCAAGTAACTGTCTAGGCACCCTGGGCACCAGTGCAGA